TTGACAAAGCCCTGGGTGGGATGATTTAGTTAGGGTTGGTCCTGCTTTGAGCAGGAGGTTGGACTCAGTGACCTCCTGAGGTCTCTTCCAACTCTGATTCTATGATTCTAAGAAGGCACACTGAAAAACAGTTAAAAGAAAACAAAATCAAATTTTAGAGGGAAATTCAAGGTTTTTTTTTAACTTGGAAGAAAGGGACTGAAATGGATATTAAAGGGGAGCAAGTTCTACATTGAGGCCCCACCAGTGCATATTAATGAATACTAATATTGATGACTATAACGTTAATCTCTATAATCTAATCCCATGCTTCAGGACTGCAAATGATTAACTGCAGAAGTTAGAAGGATTTTTTCCCCCACTGCACAATTGTAATATATTCATTTATTTCCCTTCCCTACTCTGAAGCACCAGAGATCTTCCACAGCTGGAGACAGGATACCAGTTAAAATGGACTGATGTTCTGAGGTGTTACAGGAAATCCTCTCAGATACTTGGCTCATGTGTCTAAATTGCCTTTGATATTCACATCTTCACACAAATACTGTGAACGAGGCACATCCACCCTGACTTAATTAGATAATTAACATTGGTCTTACAATTGCCAAGTTACTTTTTTTGCTGGGGTCAGGGATGGTGTGTGTGTGTGTGGGGGGGGGGTCATCGGAGAGCGGGGGTGAGCCAGGCACATAGCTCCAAAAAGGTGGCCTTCCGAATGTGGAAGTTTGGAATGCACTGCTGGTGGTTCTGCTACTCCATGACCAGCCAGTCCCACCAGGAAGAGGGTCCCAAGAAAGAGCTCTGAGTTGAGCTTGTGCAGACCCAGGAAGGCAGCCTGCACAAAGTGCTGCAGAAACTGCAGCCTGGCCGTGTGGGTCCATCGCATTCCCAGAGGCTGTTCCGGCTTCATGGCACAAAGACAAAAGCTGTGGCATCCAAAAAAGCTGGGCAACTACAGCACAAACTGCAAGAGCGTTGCTGTCCCTTGAAGAAATAGGCAAGCATGAAACAAAAGCAGAGGAACGGCTGTCCAGTGGGGTCCCTTTAAGAGTGTGTCTCAGCTAGGCTCTGGCACTAGCACTTGGAAGTAGCTGGTGACCTAAAGCCCTGTCTTAACTGGTTCCATCTGGTCTTATATGCGAAATAGCATCCAATCAGTCTGGACACTATCTTTTGAAAAAGCAGATCGCTTTTTCAATGTGGTTGGCCAGTGTGGACGCTCTCTTTCAGAAGAAGTTTTTTCGGAAGATCTCTTCCGGCAAAGCTTCTTCCAAAAGAAGCCTGCAGTCTAGATGTAGCCTTAGAGTGGTAATTTTGATCTGGGGTTTGGTCTCAGGAACATTTCTATGAAGTAGAAAATCAGAGCATGTTTGAAATTCAAGTACATGTTGAACCTCTCTAGTCTGGCACACTCTGGTCTGGCAACATGTGTGGTCCAGCATGAGTTTAGTTAGCTGGATGTTTCCTTTTCATGGGTGTGGCCAAGTTTCCATGGTCCCATAAAATTTGTGTACAGCCATCAGTCCTGGCTCTCCGTGTTCTGTGCTGTTATTTAGCTTTAATTTACCACTAAATGTTTTCTAAGAAGCAGTGGAAGTGTTGGTAATGCTGCTAGACAATATTGGCCTCCTGCAGTTTGGCAAATTCTCTGGTTCTGCACTGGTCAGGTCCTGAGGGTGCTGGACTAGAGGTGTTCAACCTGTACCGCAATGTTAGTGTGCAATAAATTTCTGTTCATCATATTTTGTTTATATAGAACTGTGGGACTATTCTTAGTTTCTTCTGTCAGAAAACAGATTGCCCCAATGACTGAGGATTTACCCTTTTCTCCTTTTGGTCTTGATCTTCTCAGTGTGGCTCCTATTTAGTCATGTTTATTTATTTTTGATTTGTCCTTCCAAGGAGCAATGATAAAACAATAAATTCCAGAACACTTACAAAGCCTCTAAAACCCTTGATGATAACATTATCCTTTTCTGATTTCTGTTGGGACATGCCATCTTTGCTGATGAATCAATAATGGAAAGCATTTCATGGAAATAATTAGAGTAATTCTGAAGCTAGTTAATTTAACATCTCTGAGGGAGAGCAAAGAACAGGACTTTCACTTGTGGTATCCTCTAATGGTGAAGCATATAAATGATTACAGAAAACTCTGGATAAATTATCCAAGACGAAAATGTTGTTTCCCTGTGCTCACTAGTGTGTATTCATTTGTGTCATCTTAACTTACACTGTAAGCATGGGCGGTCGGTGACTGTAGGGCTGGGGGAGGCAAGTCCCCCTTTTGCTGAGGCTGCCGCCCTCCCCACCCCCATAGCAGCCCAGTGGGGCTCTTGTATATTTCAAATGCAGAATTATAGCAGAAGAGGTGCAAGCAGACACTGCTTCAGTCCCCGCTCACACTGTTTCTGCTGTGCCTCTACTTCTCCCGTCCCCCGCAGAGACGGTGCTGGGGGGAAGTGGCTTTTAAGTGGACTCCCGCCAGCACCGGCTCCTGCTCCCTGTCCCCTTTGCTGCCTCTCTCTGATAGATGCAGCAAGGGCGGGAAGGGGGGGGGCAGGGAGCAACTAGTCGCATCACTAGTCGACTACTCTCTTACATCTCAAATCCAAATCTTGTTTTCCTGGTGAATATGCTTCTATCCTTATTAGCTGGGGGAGGTTGGATGACTTTGTGACTATATAGTCAAGTGGCTGAACTCCCATTGAAATCACAGAAGTTGTTTCAGCCCGCAGGCTGTCATCATATAATCTTACTGCTGATTTATGATTTAACAGGAATGAATTCCAGTCTTACCAATATTGAACTGCTGAGGCCAGTTCTGCTTGTCTACAAAAGATCAACACTGGGCAAAAAAAGACTACAAGTTCAGTCAGAAATGTCTGTGATAAATACTGGTCTGCCTTCATTTTTTATATTTAATCAAAAACCAGTAACTTCTGTTACACTGAATGTACTAAATAAAATTTTTGAACTGTGAAAAAAATGCTAATTTGGGGTAGAAAACTGTTCAGTTGGTCCCAGATGGGAAAATGAACACAACTATAGTTTGGCTATAACATTTTTTTTAGTCTTTAAATATTATAATATTTGAAATTATAATGTGACACACAGCCATGTACTCAGCTTTCAGCACTGATTAGCATTAGCTGAGGAGCTGGCCCACAAATTTCATTTGATTTTGCTGCCCTAAATTTCCCTGACAGTAGGCACATTAAGACCGTGAGAGTTCCCAGTCCAGCACATTATGCTTAGTGGCATCCTACTGTGTTACACCCTATGAGACCTGTCTCAAGTTTCTGCCTGTGATTTATAGCAAAATGAAAAGCAAAATTATGTACAATACCTTGACTGTGAAGTCTTTTTGAAGCTGGCTAGCATAGGTTTTACAATAAGCCTTTAAATTCTACATCTTTCTACAAGCACTTTGATACCTGGGCATTCTTTTTTGTAGTTAAATTTCTTTGTTTCTAATACAAAAGATTCATAAATTGTATTTTATGGTGTCATTCTTCATCCCATTTACTTTGATGTAGAATGCATGTTTAAAGTTAAATATGTTTGGTGTTTGGTGTTTTGGGATTATCATGTAAATGTGGCAATGTAGATTTGCTTTTATTGGCCAGAGTTTAACTTGCTCTTCAGCTATATTGGCTTGTGAATGAATCAATTAAATCTAAACTGCATTTAGGCACATTGTAGGGTGTCATTTCCTAGATTAGCTACAGTTGTCAAGAATACTAGTCTGTGCTTTTGTTTTTCATGAGAACTTCAGCACTAATAAGAATAACACATGAATTCCGTGGCACATCTGGGTTTTCATTTATGCTAGGGGGTATAGATAGTTCACAGCTATTAATAATTATCAGGACAATGGGTTTAGTTTGAGTATTGTAAATTATACCTCTTTCTCAGCATTCAGGCCATGTACAGTGTTAGGCACAAAATAAAAAATGAAGTCAAACCATTTCCGCAGATAAACATAATAAAGGAAAACCCATGTTAAATTGAGCATAGAAATGGAGAATAGCTTCACAGAAAGTGTATTACTGATTAATTATGAGAGATGTTGTTTCAGTAGTTAAGGCTGTGATTAGCTTTGTATTTTAAGCTTGTTTTTTGACATTTCCACTTCCTGAGATGGTCAAAAATAAATCAATAATACTGAAATTTCTCATGTTATTTTCTTCTGCGGTTTTTTTGGGGAAAGCATATGCTTATGGGAAAGCATATGCCGTACCTTCTCTGGCTCTTTCTTGTCTTGACCTCAAAATGCTCCTGCACTACAGTGCACAGGAAACTCCTGAACAGTTGAGCTTTCCATTGCAAAGAAAGTGCACTGGGAAAAAAATGTATGCAGCTGGAAAAGGCTAAAAATGGCTTCCTATTGTATGTTTCATTTTTATATGCATAGTCAATGACTTAACTTAATCTATGTGTCAGCAGATGTGCTGCATCAAGTGGGCACTATCTGGGTCTCTAATAATAGTATATTCTGTATCTCAGTTTGAAGGACCATATACATTGTTCCTGAAAGCTACACAAAATATTTGGCTGGCTAATTGCCTCATCTGCCTGCAACTACTCTATTCAAGGATAAAACAACTCTTCAAAAGTATTCTGTCCAGCCCTTCAGTTCGGTAACAGAATTTTAACATGGGGCTTTCAGGATCTCCAAAAGCCTTTTGTAGCATTTAATGAGGTACGGGGAGAAAGAGAAAACCTTCTTAGTCAGTATACTTACAGCAGCGTGTGTATGTGTGACACATCATAGGTTTTTTGTAAGAGGAGGGAGAAAAAGGCATAGCTCTGTTTCTGTGCTTCATGTGTTTGCAAGTAATGTAATGTTGAGGGTGGTTTATAATTAGAAACATGACTCACTTAGAGCTAGGAACTGCAGCTAGGTCCTCAGAGGAAGCGACTTTTTCATGCCCTTCAGTTTAGTTTCTCTCCATATTAATGTCACTTTCCTCTCTCATTTATTTTTCTTCTTTTAGGACCCCAGAGCTGATGTTAAGAAGTGGATACTAGCACATCAGAAAGCAAAGACAGGGCAGACTTTGCCTCCAATGTTATCTTGGCTTTCTGTAAAAAGAAGGAAGAGGAAAATGTAAATGTCTTTCACGTTCTGACTCTTTCTTCACAAAATGGACAAAAATCAGCTACAGCAGAAAATGGTGTGAATTCAGTTAAGGTTACAGAAAGAAACCAAGATCTATGTGCTTGCCAAGTAGCATCATGGCTAATCTATTACTGAAAATGAGACAAGCAAGTTCTTTGAACATCTGAGGACGGGAGATTTGATAAAGAATCTGGATAAGGAGCAGTCAGAAGCATAGCCACTTTTTGGAGACAAGGAATGCAGTGAACAGTGAGGGGCTTTCTGGAGTACAATAAAAGCAAAAGAGCCAACAACACTCAAGCAATGAAGATAAAAAATAGTTCATTTGATTTATAAATTCAGAATTTGCTTCATGTTCTTAGCAGGAAAAGATCATACAAAAAAAGAAGATGGAGATCAAGGATAAGATCAGGTAAATGAGTTAATCATTATGAAATACTTTGATTAGAATAAACTGTCTATCAAAGGACCTGATTTTGTTCATATTCTCATTACCTTGAGAGGGAGCAAGTTCGCCTGAAATGGACTTGGAATCTATCAAAAGATGCAGTTCATAAATGTGAAATGACGTGCTTAAAATTACACAAGAATACTGAAGGGCCATATTGTGGTCCCTTTCTTCACACTGGTTAGTAGTTACTCATGTGAGTACTTCCACTGAAATCAGTGGCAGTTACTGTGAGTAACTGCTCAGCAGTATAAGTAATATAGTTACAAGCTGACCTTAAGTTATCAAGTTACTTTCAGAATCAATGTGTAGTCCTGTGGCACCTTAGAGACTTACAAAAATATATACACAGTATCATGAGCTTTCGTGGGCAAAACCCACTTCTCATCTCATCTGAAGAAGTGGGTTTCCCTCAGAAAGCTCCATGATACAAAATGGCTACTCACAGAGACTTTCAGAATCAATGTGTAGCTTGAACATTTAGACCAGTGTTTCCCAATTTTATTTGGCCGAGGAACCCTTTTCAGTTTTTCAGAATTTCAAGGAACCCCTAGGTTTGTCAACCAAACAAAAAAAAAGGGGGGGGGGAGAAAATCCCCACCAATGCATGAAAATCACATTCCTTCTCCAAGACCCCCCTGCTGCCCTTCCTTGAGGTCTCATTCACGTTAGTTGTGAAGGGTCTAACTCAAACTTGTCTTAGGCATTGTTAAACAAGTCACATGTCAGTACCTTCTTCTTATGGGGGGCGGCGGGGTTTGGAGAGTGGAATCTTCCCTCAGTCTTCTAGAAATTATAAACCTTTGGCTGGAATTAACTTCATGTGTTTATTCCAGAAACTCCTAGCAAATACAGAACCACTATTGCAGCAACTTTTTCCTTTCCAGCAGGAGTACCTTCAGTTTTGACATTACTATAAGCACCCAGTAATTTTTGAAGTCTTTAAAGGTTAATCCTAGCCTTATAATTGCTTTTCAGACTTCCTAAATTCTCTGTGGGGGCTCGGGGCAAGAAGGTTGTGAGTATGAGGGCCTCCTCCTTCCCTCACTGCCCCTACCTCCTTTGCCCTCTTTTCCCCTGATGCCCATCCCCTCACCATCCTCATGCCCCTCTGTGCCCTCACACATGTCTTGCTCCATCCCGGCCTTCCTAATGCCCACCCCTTCTTTCAAGTCTTCTCCCAGCACCTCCCTCTCCCCCCTGTAGCTCCCAATGCCCTTACCCTCTCCCCTCCCAGCATCACCCTGTCCCCCTCCAACTGACACCTCCTCTCCTGCCTTTTTCCTCATTGTCTGCACTTGGCCCC